AGATTGTCATATTTCTGGGAATAAAGTTTCTTGTAATATTCATTAAGGATTTTTCGAATTTCTAAAGGGTCTGTTGTTATTTCATCTTTACCGTTTCTGATTCATGAGGTTAGAGACTTTAATCTTTTTTTTCTTGGTTGGGTTGGCCAAAGGTTTATCGATTTTATTGATTTTTTTCAAAAGACCAACTTTTAGATTTGTTGCACTGTTCTAGAATCCTTTTGTTTTCAATCTCATGTAATTCTGCTCTAATTTTGGTTATTTCTTTTCTTCTACTGGATTTGGGATTAGAATGTTCTTCCTTTTCCAGTAGCTTGAGATGTCCTATTAAGTTGTTAACTTCCTGGTAGGCCCAGAACTGTTTGGTAGAGCCACCTGCGTCCTGTAGGTGGTGGCGGAGGAGTTCCCCGCTCTGCTCTTGCACCAGATCAGCTAGCTAGTGTTGTGCACATACAGCGGGTGGCAGCAGAGGAGTCCTCCACTCCCCATTCCCCTGCCCCCACGGGGGTGAACTAGGACTGATCCAGCTGCTGCTGTTCCTCTAGAGGCCCCATGGTTGCCTTGGCAGGATGAACTAGGATTGATCTGGTTCCGCACATGCCTTGCACCACCGCTGCTATTCCCCTGTCCCCCAGTTGCTCCGGCAGGGCTGAACTAGGACTGATCTAGCCGCAGCAATTCCCCTGTTCCCCAGCTGCCCCTGCAGGCCGAACTAGGACTGACCTGGCTGAACCCTTGCTGCCCAGCTGCTGCCATTCCCTTGCACCCTGGTTGCCCTGGCGGGGCCAAACTAGTATTGACATGGCTGCTATTCCCCTGCCCCCCGGTTGCCCCAGTGGGGCTGATCAAGGCCTGATCTGGCTGCTGCCATTCCCCTGCCCCCTGGTGGCACTGGTGGGACCCAACTAGGACTGATTTGGCCACTGCCCGTTCTCCTGCCCCTCCACTGCACCGGCAGTGCTGAACAAGGATTGGTCCAGCCACTGCTGTTCCCCTGCCCCGCTTTCCCACCCCTGTTGCCCCTGGGGGCTGAAGTAGGACTGATTGGCCACTCTTATGCTCCATGCAGCTGCTGTCATTCACCTGCCCCTTGGTAACCCCAGCAGGCTGAACTAGGACTGAGCCCACTGCTGTCTGTCTCCTCCCCCCAACCCCCCCAACCCAGCAAGCCAAATGAGGTCTGATCTGGCTATGCAGGCGCCCATGCAGCTGCTGCCATTTGGCTCCACCCTGGTCGCCCCAGCTCCGAGAACTGGATAAAGACGACAGACACACCCTGTCTCTCTGGGCAATCAGAAGAAGAGACTGCCTGAACGGTTCTGATAAAGTCTCCAAACAGGTTAAACTCAGCATGGGGTGGAATCAGCGGAAAAACTCTGGCAACTTGAATATCAGAGTAGATCAATTCCCCCAAGGAAAAATGGGGAAGATGCAATTGAAGACCCGATTCATATACAGATGACTGAGATGTCAGAAATCGAGTTCAGAATTTGGATAGCAAATAACATTAATGGAATAGAAGAAAGGAGGGAAGTAGAATTTCAAGAAATTATTCAAAAAATATCTCAAGAAATTCAAAAGATGTCTCAAGAATTCAATGATTTCAAAGATAAAATGATCAAAGATTTTGAAACACTGAGACAAGAGGTTGCAGCCCTCAAGGATCTGAAAGA